GCTAATAATGCTTCATTTTAAATGTTAACATAAGCAATGTCCCTTTAATATCGTCACTGCTGCATAAAGACGCTCCCTAGACATATGCACGATGCCGCCGATTAGGATTGGCGCGAGTCTGAATAGCATGTTCTAGCGAAACTAATAAATTTTTAATTTGTGAGCATTATAGCTTTCCAATTTTCCTTGAATCTCTTTCAATATTTTTAATTTTTATATAATCTTAAATTTAATTCAAATAAAATGATATGTTAGTAAAATGATAAAATGTGTTTACATGAGCAATGCCTTCAGAGTATGACTATTAGTGTGTTAGTTCGAAGGATACACACATAATGGAAACATTTATATAAAAAAAGATTAACTCGATATATTAGATGGCATAAAAGCATAAAGCATAAAATTTTAAAAATGCTTAATAAATTTAATTTAATTGATTTTAGTTTAAAAATGAGAAAAAAATGTTGATTTTTTTTTCAAAGGTTTGAATTTGAGCGAGCTATTCTATTACGTAGCAAATTACCCTGTCTGGGGAAATTCCGTTTCAACAGATGGGCAACCCCCAAATGAGGGCTGGTTATGCCTCTGAAAGAGTATGTTCTAGAAATCAAACTGGCTGTTTCATTTCAAATAACCTGAAAAATCTTCCAAATAAAATTCGTTGCTTGTACAAAGCCTTTAAGTTAGCGGGACGCGCATTATTAATGATACATTCAAGTAAAAATTTAATCTTAATTTACAATATTATATTGTTGCGTTTTTTTATTCTTCTGACGCCAGTTGTTACGTTATTTTCTTCCTTCACGTTCGTACGGGCTTCCTGTGGATTTGGAGTGAATAACGACGACACTACTTGATGAAATATCCAAACGCACTTTATTTAGCCAATATTAATCAGGACAGCTCTAAAGTCACCTTTTTTACAGTCGTCGAAGATCTACTATAAACACGCTGACACAATCAGCACAGCTTTCAGGTTATCAAGCTATCACGGTGGAGACAACTTCACTGCAATCAACAGAGTACAGCTCCCGACTCTGCTCGGTCGTTCTCGGAACTCCACGTATTCTCGAGACTCTCCACGCTACAACAAGCGATGCACTCGACGACACACAAAGCACGGCTCCCGACTCTTCGGTTCAGTCGTTCCCGGAGGCGTAATGGCAAACTGCACATTCAGTTGATCAATGTTAAACGAATTTCGCATGCTGCGCATGCCCAGAAGAAAATTTGGTGCAATTATGGCTTTGGTATGATTTTGAAAGAAGATAAATACGGTGTGATATTGATATTCTGTTATCTGGGCGTTCGGAGTTTTCAAACTTGTTAGGTTGTAAGTTGCTTCATTACTTAGAGAGTTAATATCGATTATAAATAAGCAAATTTTCGTTTAAGAATGATTACAAAATAGGAAACATGATAGGATATTATAGTTGAATCTTTATTGATCATACTTCTGAGGGAATAAAAGCAATTACGTATTTACCAAACGTTCCATTCGTATATACTTCAACAAATTAAAGAATAAATTCAGTTTAAATTATTGAATTAAAATCAAGGAAATTATTATAAATAACTGGTACTAAATATAGTTTATGAAAAAAAATAAACCAAAATGAAATGAAACAGAAGCAAATGTATTGAGCACAAACAAATTTCGGTAGTATTGCAAATGTAAACAGTCGATAAGACCTACATAATGAACAGGCTTGTGTAGGGTTGCTTATACCTTAGTCGCCAGCATTTCTTCCCACGTCAACGGTAGACCATTGAGCACGCGCAGTAAGCGAAACTCGTTAACATTGATCAACTCAATGTACGGTTTGCCATTACGCTTCCCGGAGCTCAACACGCTCTCTCGACGATGCACTAACCGCGATACACTACGAGACTCTTTCGGTGCACTCGACGACCCACTCAGCACTCGCTGCCCAGCTGTCAACTCGATCGTCTCCGCACGGACTAACTCGCTAGACGAGACACCAACTCGATTTTAACTAACTCTCCGCGTACCAGCAGGGTTTATATAGCTTTTGGCTGGTGTTCGAGAACATTCTGGGCTAAACCGGTAAGAATTCGTTCCAGAAGGTTCTCCATCAGCCCATGGCATATCGCCAATTCTGTCGCCAAATGGACGATCTCTCGCCAAATGTGGCAACCCTGCCTTCCTTGGTCGTTTTACGGCAACCCTAAACTGCTTTGCGGGGAAGCCATCTCACCGCGCCTTGACATTTCGTAACAATATATTGGAAGTGACTAAAATAAATTATAAATAAAGTATTACACATACGTAAGCAAAAAATATTTTGTTAAGGAAGAATTTAAAATTTGAATTAATGTTTTTTAAATTTTAGCAATAATTTAAATGATTAATGTTTTTTAAATTATAAAATACGGAAATATTTTTAGAAACCTAAAAGAGGAGCATATTTTAATACAATATCAATGATTCAATAATTAATATCTTCTCAGCAATAATTTAAATGCATTTATTTAATGCAGTTAGGTTAAGAAGTGTTACAATATAAATTCTATATATATTTTATCGATAAAATTTTATTAAAATGAGCATAAATATTGGAAAATCCGATTTTGAATAATAATACAAAAAATCTTTTCTTTTTGTTTGTTTAAATTATTTTCTTGAGCTGTTTTTTAATTGTGGGATGATTGTTTTGCACCTTCATGTTTCCTTTTATTTTTCTTTTAAGGAATTTTGACTGATATTTTTTAATCATTATTTCAGCTCTGGAGATAAGGAACATCAGATTTTCAAAGCATCTTATGCGTGCTATTATTTGGATTAAGCTAGAAGACTTTCAGCCCTTCACTTCGGCAAAATTCATCTTAATTAAAACATAATTGTATCCACCTTTACAGCTTTTAATGTTCTTCTATATCAACTGTAGGCTTAGACTTTTGTGTTTGTCAGCGGATATACTATTAAAGTAAATGTTTCTTTAAATTTAAATCTCTGAACACTGCTAGCAGACCTATTTTGAAAGGTAATTCTTTTGCGTGCACTAATTTTCACGCAAATCAATCATAAAAATGAGTAAAAATACTGATATAGTTTGATTTAAAGTCTAATGCAAATTGATCCTTTAAAAATTGTCACTTTAAATAAAGGTTATAACTCTATTAGTTTGTTTCTTAATACCTTTTAATTTACTAGCTTTCGATATTCCATCTCCTTTCAAATGGCGGACATTTGTCGGAATAATTAAACCTTTAAATACATTATGGGAAGACTTTTTTTGGAAGGTTAATTTTATCTTACCTCATACATTAAAAGGAAGAAAACAGGTAAATGTTTTTTTTTTTTTTTTTTTTTTTTTTTTTCTCCGTTAAACAGGGGAGTTGTCTTTTGGGAATAAATGGATAATATTTCTGGAAAAATAAAAATGGATCATGTTGCTACAATAATTAGGAAAGATGTGGAAAATCATGAAAATAACCAAAAGTTTGTATATATAATTTATTTGATGAGCGGGAATTTAAATCATATTGGCTAACAGAATGAAATCATATAAAAAGGAGATGAATCAAATGATTCAATGGGCAATAGAACGTTGATGCCCATAAATGCTATTTATTAGAATTTCTTTTAAATAAACAGCATTTTTTCTCCCTCTTTAGCGGAAAGGCTTTTCTTTTTCTGAAAAACAGACCGCCATGAAGAAATTTTCATGGATTTCATAGCCGAACAAAACTACTCAAAAGAATATTTAAGCAGATAAAAAAAGATCTGCTTATTTTACTTTTAATAATTGCTTCAAATATCATATAGAAAAACTCTACGTTTTTATATCAATAAAATATATCTTTTGGTAATATTTTTCTGTTTTTTTTTTTTTAATTTTTTTTATTTCTTTATTTTATTTTTTTATTTCTTTATTTTTTTTTTAAAGGCTTAGCTATTCTGTTTCCAGGAAATTTGAAATAAAATATTGCCATTTCTTATCCGATGTCTTTGAACAAATGTAACAATTCATAAAATCATTTGTTTACTGTTATGCAAGGTATCGTTTCCTTATAAGGGCACATTGTATCAAAATTTAATAATTCATAAAAAAACTATTCAAAAATAACAAAAGATATTAAGTAATTATTATATGTTAAAAATGCGTACTTTAGAATCTTAAGTAACAGTTCAAATGTAAGTAAAATGTAAACTTTCGCTAAAACAAATTTATAATTTTATTTTTTAAATTCTTAATTTTTACATAATAGCTTATTATGTAATAGCTCCGATTAAGGACGTGTTTTCTGACTTAGCATATTCATTTAATGAGCTGCATATTTTTTAAAAGAAAACAAGTAAATCATAAGCGAAATTTTAAATAGATTTTTTCTTTTTAACTGTAACTGGCGGAAAGACGGATAGGAATGGACTTTTAAATTAGGACAAAGAAAACCGAAGTTATCTATTTACAGTGATAAATGCTTCTGTGGAAGACTTCTCGTTCGAAACAGGCCCATATTTACATTACACACGTAAAAACAGAGAAATCGATAAGAAAATGCATGTTGTTAATAACGGAAAAATGAAGAATAAATTTAGTTAGCTGTAAGCAGAACATGCGTACAATACCGGTTACAGTAAATATTATTTTTCTTTCAAACAAGAAATTGCACAACTTAATCTGAAAAAATAAACACTATTCGTTCTGAGAACCTTTTAGGAAAAACTTATAAATAATAGTTTTTTCCACGAACAAACTGATTTTTCTAATCCCGTGTTTTGTGCCACCCTAGTGTCGAAAAATACGTGTAATATTCCGGTTAAATTAGGTATCAAATGAACTTAGATACAGAATACATAAAATGCTATGCAATAATTAAACTAGAAGGTCACTGTTACAAAAAAAAAAAAAAAAAAAAAAAAAAAAAAAATCATAAAATTTCGCAGATTTGGGATTTGAATCCACATTATAGTTGGCATCTTTACCTTTTACTTTACCCTTTTCCACAGTTAGTTAAATATCTAAATTACTTACCAAGTGGTATTTCTCTGGAACATGTGAATAAAGCCATGTAACAAATAACGAAGAGAGTATATTCCAAATCCATAACTGAGATTTCCGTGCTTATTCTCCTATCTTACAAAATGACTGATATTCTTCTATAAACATTCCAGTTCCATAGTTTGTTTTTTCTTTCATCGGCAAAACTCTTCCAATAAACTATATACAAAGAGTGATACAAATCTTTGAAATGTAGTAGAGAGTAGTCATTTACTGATTTCCTTCCCCCCTGCTTTTAAAAAATGCAAACGTATAAATGTTTATTTACTACTACTTATACCACGCTGCGAGCGGTAAATTCACAACAGATACCTTGAACATGACCAGCGTAGATCAGAGGAAACTACAGGTCTATGACGAAACAAACTCAGGCATCATTATCCAAAAGAGTTTGACATCCCACCTTTATTTTGTTTTAACAAAACCCTACGCGCGAACGAATAATGGTGACCGCTAAACTTCCGACATCAACCTTGACTGTAACTTTCTCTTTCAAGCCTTTTTTACTTTAAAACATTAACATTTCCCGCACGAATAACAGAAACAGGTTATGCAACTTGTTTCCAAACTTTGAGTATTCCCCCCCCTTTCCAGCGTCGAGCATTAGTAACACCATCTATCGACCAAGACTGGAATAAAACATAATCGAGAAGATAATTTTTGAAATAAATATTATCCTAAGTAAAATGATAATGTAAAACTTTTGAATCCCTTTGTATAGGTGCGTTTTAAATTATTAAAGGGAATACAATAATTTTAAATGGCAGATAGCCCTCACGTGCTTTGCAAAAAGCTAAATAAACATGCAATAATTTAAAAAGATGAAATATTCATTCTATTTGGAGAAATCACTTCGAATAGAATCGAATCACCAAGAAGATGCGTTGTTTAATTGCTGCATTTAAAATGACATTATCAATTAAAAACATTAATTTAACGTGAACAAGACAAGCGGCAGAACAGCAGGCGGTCAGCTTCAAAGGAGGCTATCCATATTCAAGTAAGCAAATCATTAAGTTATAAGTTCAAGTAAGTTTATTACTGTTTAATAAACTGAATAAATAAAATTGTTCAGTAATATTAAACTAAAGAAGTAAAAATATTATCAAAAGAAATCAAATTGATTATTATTAAAAAAAAACCAATAACTTAAGTTTTGTGAGAGGAATGAAAATAGAGGGAAATGCTAGTGATGTATAGAGAAAATATTTGGTAGGCAGTCATAGAAAAATTAAAAACATTATGCTTACTGATTCAGAAATCAAACAACAAAAATCAGCGTTAATTCACAAAATTGTGTCATTATTGTGTCTTAATTACATTATGCTTAATTAGTATTTTAAAAGAACTCATGAAAAAAAAAGAATTTATAATCAAAGGCTCTTCAATCCAGCCCCATGAAAGCTCCAAAATTTTACAAAATAAGAGGAAAAAATAATTAAGCAATCTTCTAATTTTTTTTTTTTTTTTTTTTTTTTCAAAAAACGCTCAGTGCTTCCAAGTGATTAGTCTAAATATACTGAAAGCATTAATTAGAAATTCCAAAAAAGTTCAGTAGAGATCTTGTCTACTGCATTAACTTCCTGTCTTTTGTTATATTAAGTTATTTCTGGAACAATTCCTTTTTTAGTTAACTACTAGCCAGTCTTTATGTATCTCAAAGAAATACCAACTTCAATAGCTACTAAAAATTATCTTAGCAATATCTCAAAATCTGAAGAAAAGTATAATATTAAAATAAAAAAATGTGAAGTTTATTAAACCACAACCTGGGCATTATAAGTTAAAACGTTGACAAGTCCAGTGGCTGGCCTTTTAAAAACTGGTAACAAACAAGCTAAGTGACTTAACTCTAAGGGGAAAATTAAGTGTTAAGCCGCATATCCTTGTGATAACTTCTTGATTAATTCAGCAATGTTATAATCCAAGTTGACCTAACAGTGGTCGAAATAGAGTTGATTGCTGACTATTAGTAGTTCGATCATGTCCATTAGTATCAGCTGGGGGCCAATATTTTGGATAACTAATTTGGATTATATGATTAAAGTATGATAAAGTACGTTACGGTCAGTTGCCTGCGGGTAAGGATGCTTTCGTGGAGGTCTTTCTGTAAGCATTTCGTCAGTATTTATGTACATGGGGCTATAGCTCTTAAATTGTAGGTTGCAGGTGCTTCCTAGCTACATATATGTCAAGGCGAGTTATTGCCCAAACAAGAAATAAAGATTAACTAAATAACAAGAACTAATTGTTTATTAACACTCAGGGCCTGTGACAGGCATTTTGCCGCCCGATGCAATCTCTGCGAGAAATAAATTCCACTGGCCGGTGCCTCCGTAATTTTCAGAGATTTTGTCGTCCGTTAATTTTTGTATCTAGTGCCTCTACTAAATTCTAAAAATTTTGCTGCTCGGTGTTTCTCTAAATTCTAAAAATTTTGCCGCCCTTAAATTCTGTCGCACGGCGCGATTGCATCGACTCTGTTAATACTACACTTAAGGTTAAGATAAAAATAAATGCAAGACGCGAGACGTTCAAATTCAACTAAATACACAACTGGCTAACAACCTGTAAGAGTTCACAAATATAGCTGCTCACTCATTTAGGCACTAGAATGTTCTTATCAATGAATGTTAACACTCACTTATTCCCTAGATGTCATTACCGCGTCGAACCCAAAACATTGCGGAAAGAATATTTTCAACAACAAGAAGCTAATTCACCATCATTAACTACTTCTTATAAATAAGTATAAGTTCTGTCATGAAATCACAGTATTTAACGTTACTCTCGCGTAATTCATCCTTCTGGATTGAACGAATCATTATAACGGATACTGAGAAGAAATAAGCAGTATGAAAACTTATTTATTAGGAACAAAATATAATTGCTATAAGGGAAATCACAAAATGCCTTACAAATTGGTAGAGATTCAACCCGTGGTTGAATGGCCATGAGCGCATCCAACACAGAGAACCCAGTGTAAACCAACTCATGTTTTTCGGCATTAGCCACTCGAGCATTGATTGGCTGGAAGTTAGTTAAAGTTACATGCAAGCGAGCTAAGTACAGACAATAACTGTCGTTAATGTAAATTTTGCAAAGTTTGCCCTAGAGCGAAATATGACTTGAATGATCCACATGTAAACTTCAGAACATAAAATTTTTGGGAAAGGGAAAATTTATTTGTAATGCACAAATTAAATTATTAAAACAAACGGGGGAAAAAATCTGAATGGTTTCAGATTTTAAATTACGTCCAAAGGTGCATTTTTTTAGCGTTTTGTGTGTTACCTTTATTTATTAAATATTATATTATTTGCACTTAAACCATAAAATTCAGTTTAACAGCAATGTCGCAAAATAATTTTAAAATGAGCATACCTTTAGAATTTCCGATATACAGTTCTGTGCGCTGGAGATAGAAAGGTTGCTTTTCCCCGTAGAATGTTGCCTTTGCTCGCTTTTAAATCGTTGAGTTTGTTAATCAAAAATTCGTTAAAGTTTTACAAATTATGAAATTGATAATAAAACAAATGCAGATTTCAAATTTGGGCTTTCAGATGCCCATATTCGCAGTAGGATTACGTCATTCAAAATTGAATGACTCTAGGTACTGTTGTTTAATCACAATGCGAGAAACATACATACATTTACGCAGATTCTTCATTATTTAATTTCTTCAAATATAATACAGGGCAATAGTATTTGGTGGCAACGATTTGAAAAGTGACACGCCGTTTATAGAGTTCCGAAGCAAAAATCGCAAAACGAAAACAATAGTCATTCAGGGACAAAGCCCCTTTGGACTAAAAATTCTCTGTCACAGAGAGATTTGTCATATTTCTTAAATGCTGCATTTCATAAATATTTTTGGTAATGAAAACTTGAGATAACATATATTTAATCTGTGTGAGAAAATTATTCCGTTAATTGGTTAGTTATTTCAAATAAAAATAAAAAACTGAGGCAATGTGATCATCTAGTTTTTTTTTTTTTTTTGATAAAATTCTTGAGAGACAAAATGATGACCTAATTATTGCTAAGGTAAATTTAATATAAATTAACTCTAAAATATATACACTGAATCATTATGTAAAACATTCTATAATATTTGGAATTTCGAAAGTTTGTGAGTAATAACTCAGTTTATTTATTAGGTGACAATTTACTTGTAGGCATATTTTCGCGACTCAAAAAAATGCACTATTGACATCTGTCTCTGTTAACAATCTTTCTTTCTTTAAAACCATTTTTGTTATTTTCTGGCATTTGCTTCTATCCTACCAAGATTACAAATAGTATTACCTCGTATCTAAGTTCCTTACGTTTTTCTCATTTAAGCTAATAATTTCAGAAAAAATAAATACTTTCATACACAGCTTTCCTTTTTTTTGTTCATAGTTGAGATTTTTGTTTATCTCTTCTACCAATTCACTTTTCATTTGTTCACTCCAGAATTTAGAGAAGAATACCTAAATAACACAGAGAGTAAAAACAGTCGGAATTACAGAAGATGAAAGATTACTTGATTCACCTACCCGAGACTTAAATAACACCATTTGACTCGGACAGCGGATGTTGATGAGCTAGCTAGGAGTAACTACTTAATTTAATTAAAATGAGAGACATGAGTAGACGTTTCCTACATATTTTCAATTAATTTTGATGACTCTGCGTATAGTCAATTAACTTGTTTATACTAGTTTTCAAGACGCAGCTGTTAAATTTCTTATGCCAATTTGGTATAAGAGTCAACCAATCAGAACGAATGAGCGAAATCGATTGAGCGGGAAAACAGCGTGAAAGCTGTAGACACATGAAAGCGTGCGAAAATTTAGCTTCTCGAATTGGCTGAGGTGTAGACCAGTCTCGCAGGTGTAAACGGAACTCCTGCATTTTTTGTCTTATGACTATGCCTCTATGACATTTATACCACCATCTGAATGGAGCCTAATGCAACAAGTCAGCTTCCCTTATCAGATCTTCCCCCAAAATAGCCTCTAACACATAGCCTTCGTTTGCTTTGACATGATTAAGTAAACAAACAATAAGATCGCTTTCAGTTTTAAGAATTAAAATACGGTTAGTCTATATTTTAAGGTACCCCTTGGATTATCGCCAAGTTGTTTTATTTATGGTAACCTGAGTAGTTAAATGTTATGGAAACCCTCTTATGATGGGATTAGTTGTAATGCGTGATTGCGGGGATTTTGACTGATGGGAAAATATTTGCAATGACTTACTTAGGTATGGATATTGGTTAGGAAGTACGTTGCTTATTTTGTGCTTTACACCGTAAAAGTGTCTGCCGATGGTACGATTAACCTGAAATTTCTGTACACTTTGCAACGATTGGGAAAGAAAACATTGACTGACTGGTGTGTAAAGGAAGATTTAAGTGGATTCGTTCACCTCTCAGTAAATTATGCAGTGAGATTTAAGGATTTTGATACCTGAGCTCATATCAAAACTATGGAAGGTATTTGGGGTGTAATAGAAAGGGATTTTCGAAAGAAATGCTACCTACAATCCAGAGTATATATTTCATTTTTACTTTTGTGAATTAATGTGGCGATGGCAGTATACAGAGTTGCATTCTAGTTTAGATAATTTTAAATAATTTCTGGATGCTGTAAAGGAATTCTGTGTGTCACACATATCGAAGAAACAGAAATTTTTAAATAAGGTAAGTCGATATCTCCTTTTTATACTGCGTAGATTGCATTATAAATAACATGTATCTCCACTCTTATGTTATTCCTTTGTTTAATTTAAAATGCAGTTTATTGAGATTATATAGTTTTTCTTTTAATTATGTTTTATTGCATTATGTTTTGGACGCCATTTTACTGGGGAAGGCATTGGACGTAAACAGGATTGGCGCCAAAGAACCGACAATTTTCGCCAAAGGATACCCTGAAATATATTTTAACCTAAAATACTATTTCCCCGAATACTATTTTCCCTTGTACAATTCAGTGTATCAAGAGTTCCCTGCATTTAAAAAATTTTTAAAAATATTTTTCATGTTAAAATGAAATATGGTTACATTCTATACGGCTGTGGCTATGGGAATACATTCTTTTAACTTTTCGATTGAGAATCAAATTATAAACTCAAAGGTATAATTTTAAAAGTGTGTTTTATTAAGTTTGCTTTTATAATAAATACCAAAGTTACTGTACTACAAGGTTTGCTCTTTTCGGAAAAAAAAAAAAAAAAAAAAAAAAAAAAATCCTTGAGCGAGGGACATTACTGACTCATAGTCTGCTCCAAAGCAATTACTGTGATGGGATATTAAACAAAATAAAATAATAAATGTAACTGCGTCTTCGTTTCTCGCACTTCTGTTAAGATAGTTGACGTCGCTGAACAAACGTTAGGAAGAGCACAACCTCGTTCGTCTACTGTGATATACATGATAAATATATTATAGTTGAAAAGTCTTTCAAGGGCTAGAAGATAAGGGACATTTTAAAGTTGGGAGACATATTAAGGGAAAAAAAAAGTTTTGAATAATGCTATATATAAATCTAATATATATCCTAAGTCGCGTTTTCGAGACATGAAAATCTATCTCCCCCTTTTTTTTGTGCAGAGTTTACAATTTCCATACACATTTCTAGTGAAGTTGGAACTATAATAAGTAATTACTTACTTACTAAACGTAAGATCCCCCACATGACTTGGTTAATTCTGTACTGATGATTAACAAGAATGTATCAGACATAATGATATCAGTAGTGTTTTTGGCATTTCAAAAGTAAGCTGGATAACCCAATTGCTGTATTCGAATTGATCAAAATTATTAGTCGAATTTTTAAGTAGCATTTACAATCATATTTTAAATTAATTGTCAATGATTAACTACAGACTTGTATAAATGAGTAAAAACTACACTATCGTCTTCCCAAGCCTATATTAAAATGCCCTTTATGGAACTGGAAAATTGAACCAAAATTTGAGGCTAAATACAAAAGAAGAACTGAATAAAATTACAAAATAGTACAAATTAAAAAAAATTTATATAGTTTGACTAATCTTCAATACATCACGTAAATCACAAGAAATGCATCAACTGAAAAAAAACCAGTAAAAAGTGGGTGTGACCATAAATACAGTAGAATTTTTGTCATTTCAACAAATTTGAATTACACTGTTTCACTAAAATTTGTCACAAAATTTCCTAAGCATGGGCATTTAGCTTTTGTAATGTTATCTATAATTATCAAGCAGTATTAAAATATTTTATTAAAAAATAAACATTCTATTTATACTATGTACATTTACAAAAAATCTGAAATTAAATATTACATTGTTTTTTAGGATACTGTAAGCGAAGTACAGAAATTGCAAATTTTGTTATTTTTCATCTTAATTTTGAATAACACATTGACTTGTAAAGAGTTAAATGCAGATTTGTTTATTAACCCAATTTTTTTTATAAGTGAATATTTGAAATGCACTGTTACAAGAGATTTGCGAACAAGATTCAAACATATGAAATTCAACGTGAATTTTTTGAAGCTAAGTTTCAGAGGGCTACTTTTAAAAATGAGTAATATTTATGTTCAGCAAAAGTTATTAAAATGCCACTAATAAGAATAATGAAGCATTATAAAAGGGGAAAGAACGAACACATTTATATACAATGAGAAATATATCATTAAAATTACAACAAATTACTTCTTATAATTATATCGAACGCTTTTAAAATGAGATGAATGCCAGCTATACTGATAACAAATAGATTTCCGCGCGAAGCAAAGATTATGGTCTTGCAGAACGGCTTAGGAAAGATCATAGGAGCAATTTGCAATATTGACCCACCACGATTTTACATAAATTCCTTCATTCCTAAGAGAACATTTATGGCAAACAACGTATCAGCCTTCATGAGTAGTATTTCATCAGCTATTAATATCATCGTTGCCGTTTCTCACACTTTTGTGTAGGTAAAATGAAATTTTTTTCACTTAGCCACACCAACACAAAAGAATAGCAAGATCTAAAAGGGTTTTCAAAGTACTCTGATTGAAATTTTTAAGTGTAATATTTACTAGCCAGTTGAAAAACTTGTATGTAATAAATGAGTAAAAAAAGTACCCACTTAAATTTCCCTATAAAATCATTTAAAATTTCATTTTTTTGTAAACATTAGTTTTTAACAATTCATCTCATTTTATAATACATCAAACGAAGAAACTTAAAGCTTTAATATCAAGGAACTCTTAAAAAATCACATCAGCTCTGTATTTTACTCGTAGATTATCTAGAAAAACAGTATCTGGAAGAGAGACAATATACACGTTGACAGTATGCCAAAAGTTTCTTAAAGTTACAGTACAAATGCTTACATACATCTTAACTTATACAAAACAATAGAAATATATACGGATATCTATATATACACATAAAATTTTTAAGATTATACAGAAGAATATTACTAATTAACCCTTACAGAAAATATCACAATAGAGAGCATTGTCTAAATCACCAAATTTACCAAGCATTAAATCCTGGTGAATAGTAGGCACTTTACATATGTGCTATTGCTGCTTCATCACAGAAGCCAAATAAGTTCACATAAAAAATTTATAAGCTGTACAAATACATTATTCAAAAATGAGCCAACAACATCTTAAAAAGTGATATATGCTCTATTACTGCTCGCATATACATTTCTAAAACTACAGAACTGTTAAAAGTAAACGCGTTAAATGCTCCTAAAAGTCCAAAAGTGTTAATTTTTTTGAAATATTATACTACAAAAATTGTGTTTAAAACTTCCCCCAATATGTAAATGCTATAAAATGATAATTACAAAAAATGGCACCTTTCGTCTTTAAGAAAAAAAAAGTATTATTAATCTATTTTTACTCGTAAAGTTAAGGCATTCGCATCAGTCAAAATACGTTTCTAGGTCTGGATCTTCTTTGAGTTCATTAAAGTAATAAAAAATAATGAACTAATTGTTTTTAAAATAGCCTGGTATTTTAAAAACAAAATATATTTACAAGTTTCTGTATTTAAAAAAAAGTTCGTGATCATAGATTATGGTCATGATAACTCTGAGGAGGCATCATAACTGAGCCTTGTGGATGATGGTCCATACCATCTGCCATATGGGTATGTAATGCAGCAGGCCTCAACACTTCTTCTATTTGAGGACAATGGGGTCGGGGACCAGGTTCTGGGGTATAGGTAAAAGTTAGACCCGTTGCGTAAATGATACCGTCACTGCGAACCAAAGAAACGGGAACCTATAATAGAAAATCAACATAATTAGGTATCGGTATTAAGTAATAGAAACTTTGCATATATAGCCTATGGTAAGATGGAAATTAAAAAATATCAGTAGCTCTTATTTTATAAATGAAGTAAATAATTTTTAGTACAATTAATATCAACAGTAAATCTGTTACATAAAAAGCAGTTTATTTAGAAGAATGTCATTTGCATTTTTTCTATATGTGAATATGCAAAGCATAATTCTTAGCCAATCCAAAAATCTAGAGAATAACTTGAGAAAAGGTGTTATGATCCTATTTGTATAATAGCATTAGTAGAGAGTTTCTCAAGTATATTGACTGAAAGAACCAAGAAATTGTTTTCATATTGCATGGAAACCTGCTTGAAATGTACGTTAAGCTTAATCAGTTACTGGTAGGTCTAATAATCCAACAATAAGCGCGAAAGCTACTGTGAACGTTTTTTTGGATGAACGTTCTTACTTTGTCCAACATGTTAGAATTAGGTTTTTATCCATTTCTTAGTTTCTGTAAAAAATAACTATATCGTTCTTTAGCTCATTTCTTGCCATATGAGTAATTAATTCTTTCCTTCATTTAGAACCAAAGAATTAATAATGCAGTTGAATATATGATAGATTAGATCTCAGCTAGCTATTTGACTCCAGAGGAGGAAAGCAACCTCTATGAACGGAGGCTATTAGAAGACTTGAACCAGATTCATAACAAAAAACCGAATTGGCTTCCTCTAAGGTAATGGAATATTTAAAAATGCTCACGAATTCTTTAAATAATAAAAAAAAACATGACTAACAAAATTTTTATTGTAAAATGTGCAACAAATGTATGAAAGAATTTAATTAAAATATCTTAATTTTCATAAAACATTTGGGAAAGAAAATGGCTTAACAAAATCAATGAAAATGTTTCAGATAACCGAGCTGGAATTTCAGTACATGATACGTTGTTTAAACATTGTCGTCAGATTAGAAGCGGTTATAAAGGCAACCTGATATAAACTGCCTGTAAAAAATTGTGCACAGTAAATCAGCTGTTCTCAACCTTTTGACTAACGCGTACCATCTAAACAAAAATGGAAAACATTTAGTACCACCACTACAAAGTACTACCACCACCACTACTCTTGAAAAAAGCTCAGATCGCATGAATTTACGAGTGTTAGAGAAAAAAACACAATCAGGATGTTGTGGTTTTAATTTTTGAATTTAATAGTTAAACCTACTTTGCTTCTTTGCGTACCACCTATTTCTCTCTTGCGTACCATCAGTGGTACGCGTACCATCGGTTGAGAACCCCTGCACTACATGAATAATATAAAGCGAAGTGCAGTTTCGAATTTCGCAGTACAGTTCCGAAAGCAAAGAGGGCCCACCAGCGGCCGAGCGGTGAAGTCGCTGAACACTGGTAGTTCGGTCCGAGGTTCGAATCCCGCGAACGGGCTGGTTGCTAGGGTGTTCGTGGTTTTCTCCATGTGTAACGTGCATACGAGCCAGTTTCCCTTAAAAAGTCCTCCACGAAGGCATCCCTCTCTTAAGGCAGATAGCCCCCGAGTGCTTTGCCGTAATCTAGTAAACCAAACCAAACCGAAAGCGAAGTACAAACAATTCCGAATTTTGAACCAAAATTCAACTATTTTATATAAGCCAAATAAGGAAAGGGGTAAATAAAATTCGAATATACAGAAAATTCAAGCAATATGAGGCGGTCCACTGAAGCTTTAATAGAAGTACTATATGCACCATCTGTACAAGACGTTCCTAAACTGGATTAACAAATACTACAGAAAACTTAAGATGAAAGTTTTAATGCTTCAGATGTTGTACATAGTGTCCTCCACTTGAGTAAAACACAAAGAGGGTTTAAACAACTTGTAGGGTTTATATTTATTTTAACTAACATTTATTTTAAGTTTAAACTATCTTTCCTGTCAAGCCTTACTTTCCCCTGGAACTGCCAATGCCAGAATATGTAAATTTTAGTAGAACGCGCAAGGATTCAAATTATCAGCGGAAGTATTATGATTTAAATAGGAAGGAAACAAGTTCGGGGTGTGATATTCTTACTTCACGAGCGCGGAGGTAGTTAGCGAGAAATTGAAGAACCCCGCGTTTCGGCCTATGTGCTTGGCGGAAAGTAGTGTTAATCGTTCAAGTGAGCTTCAAGTCTGCTGAATTAGCAGCGGTGTTTGTAAAAACGCGGTGAGTTAGTTATTTTAGAGAGCCTCGTAGTTAGAGTCTTGTCTTTAGTTTCTTTTCAGGTTATTATTTTTATTTGACCGCCGAGTTGGCGCCGTCTGTAAGCGTCAAGAGCACGCAATTGTAATTTTTACGTTGAATAAAAAGGGACTTAAACCCTTCACAAGACTCGGTGTTTTATCCAGTTTCCACAGTCACCTCTTGGTTGCGTGCAAGTTGGAGGCACGCAACGTTACAAACTATATGAAACTGTCAGAAAAGTCCTTGTTTGGGATATTATTCAACTTGTGTGTCACTGTGGCTTAAATGTCGTTTACGTCGTGATAGCATCGACACTTCACGAGAAAATTTATTTTCGGGAATTAAAAAAAAAGTTACTCGGCACTAAATCGAGTGAATATGGAGAGTGGTTAAGAACTGGATTACGTTTTTTCGCTAGAAACGGCACCACATTTCCCAGCCGTGTAAATATGCGCCTTGTTGTCGTGCAACAAGAAGAAATCACTCTCCTTCCATCGTTTCGTACGAACTTGCTGAATCCTCTTGCATAACCGATTCATAACATCTGGGAATAGCATTCCCACTTTTGATTTCCATTTATGATTGCAATGTTAGGAAGAAAATCTGTCTTTAAACTTTTCGAACAGACGCTGTATATGTTTCGCATTTCCAGATATGAAGTATAAAATTTCGAAGTACCAATTATCTTTTAGTGTAACAGATTAATGCTAAGTTAGCATCAATCCTAAGATCCAGTTTAGAAACAATGGCGCAGCTAAGTGGGGCGGAGGGGCAATCCGCCTCGGACGGCAAATTTTTGGGGGAGGCATTTTTCGCATAAAGCATTATTTTATAGAGCTTTGACGTGTGGATCATTGCGGCAGTTTTAATTTATTTACCTATACATCATTTTAACATTTTTTAAAATTATTTGTGTATCAAGAGGGACAGCAAAAGCTCTAGCTACACCACTAGTTAAGAGGCATGAAGAAAATCAAACATTTCCTGAGATTCAGATTGGTAACTAAAAGTGTTAAGTGTAGAATGAACTCACGAAGACACCATACATAATGAAAAGTCAAAATTTTAAAAGCTTTAATGGAAAATATGCAATCTTATTCATTAAGTATATTTGTTGTTCTGCTATATGTGCATCAGCTTGTCCTACATAATTTCAATATGGGAGCAACTTTGTCCTATGTAATCTCAATGTGTGAGGCTGACACTAGAAATAAAGCCTGAGTAACGTTTATTTCAAAGCTTCATATTACCAAAATAAATAAGTAAATAAAATAAAAAAATCCCGTGGTTTAATATTCACAAACGATAAATAAATTACTTGTCTATAACAATGAAAATAATGTTTTTGATAATTTCCTACAACATGAAATTCAAACTTACTTACCAGATAATACGCTTTAATAGGGCCGGATTAAGATTTATAGAGAACCTGCGCACTTAAAAGATTTTGGTGCCTCCACATATGCTCAGACTAATTTTTTCTTCATTTCTTCTCACTCTCAATTTTGGTTTAGCTCCATCATACATTCCAGTCAAACCAAGAATGGCAAATTTTTTTTGTGCCCCTTTTCTTGAATACCTGACGTTTTCGTAACGCCTCTTTTCCTTTATGTCCTAAACACGTGCATTTACACTGTTGGCTATTAAAATTGCAACACCGGGAAGGAATAACCTAATGAACGTCAAAATCACATGAAAGGAAGAAGAGATTAGGACGACGTTTAGACGCAGGAGGGAGAAACGACATCTGAAGCACTGCATAAAAGAAAAGTTGTGTAATGGATTTCTCATTCGGAAAGCGCTTTGTAAGGTCGCGGTTTGCTCAGAATATTTTGTTATGCCTCGAATAATAATAAGAAATGCTTAGGAGCAAATATCGAAATTCGATAGAGGGAGGATCGTTGCCTATCGAGAGTGTGTATTATCGTTCGGTGATATCGCCCGTTGCACTGATCGACATCCAACCACTGTCATGCAACTATGGAATCAATGAATTGTTGAGGGTCATACTGAACGGCATGCAGCATCTCAACGCCCTGCCATGACTAACGCCCAAGAGGAGAGACATATTGTGAGGTCAGCCCTGCAAAAGCGTTCAACCACATCACCACATCACGGACCATTAGTCAGGAAATGGGCATGTTTGCCAGCACGCCCAATATCCGCTCGTACGGTGCGTGCGTCGAGGTTTGCAGCAGCGTGGACCATCAGCACGGCAACCATTACTTCGGCTTCCCTTGACAATGCAGCAGAGAAAAAGACGGCAACAGTGGTGTGCCGAACGACAAAGCTGGATACAGGAGGGACACAATGTGATCTTTTCAGACTAGTCCTGGTTCTGCGTGCAGTATTCTGGTGGCCGTATACGTATTTGGAGACCCCCGAGGAGACCGCACGTCGCCTGCTTACGTTCGATATCGGCATAGGGGCCCTGCACCTGGTGTGATGGTTTGGGCAGTCATTGGGTACACGACACGCACCTCTACGGTTCGGATTGACGGTAATTTGAACGCAGATTGGTACATTTCTGACGTCTTACGCCCAGTGGTTATGCCCTATTTTCGAGGCCTGCCAAACGCCATCTTCCACCAAGATAATGCAAAAACACACGTTGCACGTCGTGTTCTGATCTTCCTCGATACACAGGGTCCTCGATTTCTGCTGCTGCCCTGGTCTGCACAGTCTCCTGATCTGTCACCTATTGAACTGGTCATGAATTGCTGAGAGACTGGCCCGCTCCTTCTCTCCAGCTAATACGGTTGATGAAGTGTGGCATAGACTTTAAACAACATGGAATGAGTTGCCCGTTTCTGTCATCTAAGCCCAGTTCGACTCCATGCCTAACCGGGTAAGGGCCGTTTTAGCTCCCAGAGGTGGCAGCTATTTCTATTAATTTCGCCCCGCTGTAAACCCCCAAACTGCTTAAGAATTTTATCACTTTGTCTTCATGCCATACTGTTTATGGAGAATAAATATCTTTTTTGGATTTGCTTTCCTTCATTCTGTTGCAATTTTAATGGCCAGCAGTGTATATTGCATAGTGATTAATCGGACCCCGCTCTTTAACCTTTTTATCTTGAAGAAAATCTTAATCATTCTTTCATAACATTTAATGTTGTATTTGATGGCTTTTGTGTACAGTCCTGATGGTATTTTGAAGAAATGTTATATGCAGCACATAATACAGGTCATAAATAATTTCGTTTCGCTTATTAAATGAAAAATTCATAATTCATTTATACTACAGAGGGAAAGGTCTGAATGCAAATTTATGCTGAAGTAATCACTTTATTCTTTTCATTGATAACGCACAGTAAGCAACGCAAGACCTTGGCTTCTCGACATGACATTTTCCCACAGAACTTTACAGTTATGTAACAATTTAGATTGTACCTAGCTAGTTTAAACTCCAAAATATTTCGCATTCAAATATGCCTCCTTCTTGATCTTTTGTTCCTCATTTAGTTTTCAGCCTCTGAACATTTCCTTGGAGGTCAAAATTGTTTGTAACTGTCACAGCAACATACCAAATATAAGCGTGTAAAGTATTTCTCCCGCTCTCCTAGCCTGCCTTCGTGGTGTAGTGGTTCTGCACGCTGGGCCAGTATTCAGAGGTTAGTGATTCGATTCCCGGCGAAGGCGATTGCTAATTTTTCATATTGTCTGCCTCCAAATAAGCCTAATGACTCTACAGTGGCGCTCGAACTAAAAGGGTTGTTGGATGATGATTCTCCGCACCCAGATTTGGCAATTGGGAATCCTAAAAACCCCAGTCGCCCTTTAAAAAGGGGAGTATATAAGGTATTTCTCCCACCTTCTCAGCATGCCTTCGTGGTGTAGTGGTACTGCACGTTGGGCCGGTATTCCAGAGGTCCGTGGTTCGATTCCCAGCGAAGGTGTTTGCTCATTTTTCATCTAGCCTGCTTCCAAAAAAATACCTAATGTCTCTACAAGCGATAAACATTGGTTGACTATGCTTTTATCAAAACAATTTTATTTGTAACCTATGCAAGTAATTGTTGATATTCTACAACTATTCAGATCTTTATACTGCAATTTAAAATCTCGTTTAAATTTTCATTATTCTCATCTTGTATCCGATTACGCGATTTGCATTAATGTTCAAAGAATAATGCAATATAAATTTAATTCAAGAAATGAAGATGTAATTTAACTTAAAAAAAATCAGCGACTTATAAAAATATTGCTATCATTTTACGTGAAACAAATTTTTGGAACCATACTTAAAATGAATTTACTTCATGCTTATAACATCTTGGTAAACTCACAAGTAAATTTTTTTTTCCCCAAAACCAAACAAGAAAGAAGTTAGAGAAATCAAATAAAACTCTTGCTGTAAATGTTTCCTCTTTCTTTAAAATAGTTTCATATTAAGCAAAATTTAACAAGAAAACAATGTCATAAATTTACCTGAGTTGGCTGTCGCACGAATTGCCACCCTTCCCTAAAGGCAGATATGTCAGGAACTACGCATAAGATGCTTTCTTGACATCTGAAATAAATAATTAAAATGTTTAGTCATTTTTTGTTTTTGGAAAAATTAAAAACCTCTGAACAGCTTTTAAAGAACTCAAGCTATTTACGACTATTGCAGGTTTAAAAAAAAATTAAATATCATTTAACAAATATTTTTCACATACATTTTGAATTTTAATTACAGTGCAAAAGTTATATCATGAAGAAACTAATTGCAACAGAAGTAAATATGCCATTAAAAAGGTGGTATACTTTTTTACTACTCTTAGCAGAAATTTGGAAAATTCCGCATCAAAAAAGTCAATTCAAGTGATAGTTGTTTACAAGAAAACCTGAGTATAATTCTGGCACAAACTATACATAGCTGAAGACTAAAATTACAAATAATGCTAATTACTGATAGCCTTCCGAACGAGGTTAACGAAAGTGATTAGGCGAGCCTACTGCGGTACCGAAGGGCCCGGATTCGAATCCCGGAGAAAGACAGGGATGTTTATAAATGTATAGTGTCTTTGCGGCATGGGATACTCTAAATATATGGCGAGCCGAAAGTCCTCTCGTGCGGTTTGGTGGAAGGGTAAGAAACTCCCGACCAGACCCCGGGGTGTTCTCCCTCAAATTTGGGGTGGAAGTACAAGCTCAACCTTCTTGAGGTTCTGGAAATTGTTTTTCCATGCAATTCATGGACAAGACAACAACAATTACATTACTGATAACTGATAGATGCATTTAATATCACAGGCTAAGCTATTAAAAGTGACAAATTCATTGCTTGAAATTATTCATTTATTTTTACTTCAATTATGTTATCATATACAAGAACAATGGATGACTAAAGTATCTGTTGAAATTGTTTCTACATTTAATTTTCCAGTTTCAGAAGCCAATCGAATGGGTAATGTTTTTATACTGTGACATTCCTGACATTCACGTAATTACGTTTACCAAAATTTTATGAATTTCCATATAAAAATGCAAATTTTATATGGGAATATTATACAGGAATTTTGGAATTTATACGGGAATTATTTTATATGAAATTTACATGTAAAATGTAAATTTTTATATGAGCCCCGAGGGGGAGAAAAGTATCAAAAAGAAAATGCTTCTCAAAGACGAATTAATCGAATAAAAAAGGATTTATCCCTATATCATCTAAGAAACTAAGGAATCATTAATTAAAATTTATGGGAACGGCGTGCGCTTAGTATTGAGCACAGATACAGATGAAAACGTTTGAAAGAAAAACTTTTATATTAGAAAGATTTTAATATAGAAGCGTGAACTTCAATACCTCAATTACAGAAATGCTAAAAATTCGAAGTTTTTTTATTCAATCTTAAATAATTTTTTATACTTCCCTTAAATAACGTCTTTATTTTTTCCTTTTATAGGCTGAAAGTGATTAAATCATAATTTTTCAATGTGAGTTGAACTTATTGGAGAATTTAAAAAAAAATTTTTTTAGTGGCATAAGGAACTAGAGCTTTTCAGTACCGAAACGGGTTCTTCCCCTATACAGAACGCGTATAAAAAAAATTAAACTTTGAGTTTATCTATTAATATTTGTTACAAAATCAAAATTGCCATAATATGAAAGTCCATTTTATTTCGTTAGAGTTTTTAACAGGAACTGTGTATCGACCATTCAAGAGATAGCTAATAATGCAGCCATTTTGAAGTACCCCGTATGTCTATAATTCAGCTTCAGACTAGATTACTACTAGATTAATGCGACGATATCTACTCTACATTTCAGATCAAATTTCAATATTTGTAACTAAAATATTACTTTTCGGATTGTTATTAAGTTATATTAATAAAATCATCAATTATTCAAGGAATAAAATAATAATATTATACATTTAAAATTATAGAATGTATAGAAATCGAAAAGTTTTAATTACCTATACATTGTTTCAGCTTCAACTTCTCCAAACCATACTCTGAGATTAGGAGTGAAGCTTTCACCAGATAATTCTAGCATCGCAACATCACCTCCACCATTTAGCTGCAATTTAAGAAAAACAGTAATTTTTACTTCAAAGTTAAGAGGCATGACAATAAATTAAAATATAATTTTTGAGAAATTTTGTCACAATACATTTTTTTTTTTTTAACTTGCTAAGAAGAAAATGTGTGAGAATTCCAGAAACATAGTTGAACCTAATTCCTCTGCACTGGCAAATAAATTCGAAAAAGTGTTCCAATTAATGAATAAGTAAAATGAGGAAAATTTTACAAAAGAGGAAGATGAGAGAAGTGTTCTAGAAATCATTGAAAATTTCAAATGATGTGTTTGTAGGAGTAAATGAAGAAAATTAAATAGTGTGCAAGAAGAGTAAATATAAATACAAACATGAAGAACTTATCAAGTTATAAATTTATATATGAAGCTGCTAGTTCCAAATTGTAATACAAAGAAAATTTTGTATATGGTCGATGTAAGTTTTCAGCCAGAATCTAACCAACAGACTGAATACTTTATCAAATGAAATGAATTTTAATCGGAATTTATTGAAATATGTTATAGAACGAATTTTCTCATGTCTTCATTTCACAGCAGAAGCAATGTATAAATATTGATAGCGTAGGGTCATCAGATTTTTCTGAAAAATTAACCTCCTGGAATCGATCTTCCAAATGCTAATGAGATAAATTCACCGTCACATAGGAAAAAAAAAAAAAAAAAAAAAAAAAAAAAAAAAAAAAAAAAAAGAATGCCTTAATTCTTTAAAGTAATAGGAGCATGAAGTCTTCAGAAATGCACAGGACCGTCACCCATAGTCAAAGAGAGGATATTCCCCCCTATTATACCATTATCTTATACGTTGCACCACAAGAAGGACGCATGAGGAAATCAAGGCTGGATTAACCAATAAGCATATATACTATTTAGGGCATCGAAGTGATGGGACCCGCCTTCTTAGCATGCATTCGTAGTGTAGCGGTCAGCACGCTGGGCGCGTATTCCAGAGGTCCGTGGTTCGATTCCCGGCGAGGGCGTTGCTCATTTTTCATCACTCCTGCTTCCAAAAAATCCTAATGTCTCTATAGTGGCGCCCGAACTAAAAGGGTGGTGGATGATGATTCTTCCCACCAGGATTTGGCGATTGCGTCCCCTAATCCTCGATCGCCCTTTAAAAGGGGGGGTTCATGAGGTATTTCTCCCGTTTTCTTAGCATGCCTTCGTGGTGTAGTGGTCAGCATGTTGGGCGCGTATTCTATAGGTCCATAGTTCGATTCCCGGCAAAGGGCGTTGCTCATTTTTCATCTCTCCTGCTTCAAAAATACCTAATGCCTCTACAGCAGTTCTAAAACATCGTGATACAAAACATCGTTGTCTAAAATACCGTGGTAAGAAATAAAGCACTTACAAATCATCGCATAACTGTAACATCGCAGGCATGTGTTTTCCAGGCTTTAAAAGTTGTAAATTCATATTCACATAATGATTTGTGATCTTCCTTTTTCTAGCCTTTTTTAGACTACATTTTTCTTGAAAAATTAGCCGTAAAACTTTATAAAAAATAAGATTAATTTATTAAGGACTTTTGTTAGTTAACTATGTAAGTGTAAAATTAAGTGCTGTAAGTTGCATTAATTTTCTATTCATTCTCAGCTTTTAAATGCTTAAGTTTCCTTATTGTTTCATCAACAAATTATTAGTTAATTCAAAAATATGAACTATAAAAGCAAAAATATTCCCTTTCCTTCTTGCGCTCACAAGTCATTATGCGAATATGCCCTTACAACTAATAAAGCCTGGAAAACGCACGGCTGCGATGATTTATTTAGTACTTTATTTTTTACCACGGTATTTTCGACGGCGATATTTTAAAACTGCGAAATATTTTAACCGCTTTAATTTTGGCCACGATATTTTTTACCACGGCGTTTTAGAACTGCGATGTTTTCTCCTTGCTTCCTTTATCTCTCACGATGTTTTGTACGACGTCGTTTTCGCCTTGCGTTGTATCCGAGTTCGACCGTGGCCTTCGAGAACGGTCGAAGGTCACGGTTCGACAGAGGAAGGGATGGTGGCCTACCGAGAGTATGGATTATCTTTCAGGGAAACCGGTAATCGTGTTGGACGAAACCAAAAAACTGTAATGAGTATATGTGACTGTTGGATGCAGGAGGGTACGACGGACCGACGTGTTCGATCGCATCCACCTCAGTGCACCACTTCACGTGATGACAGGAACATTGTGCGCATGGTAGTGACGGATCGCTCAGTAACATCACGAAAATGATTTCTTTTCAATACTGCACGTTTACTGTACAACATAATCACCATCTATGCTACATTATATGGTGTTACAGCCAGCATTACTAACCACTATATTGACTAAGACGAGATGAAATCTTAATTTTTTTTTTTTTTTTTTGTAAGACATATTGAATTTTGATTCCAATGGAAACGATAATATATAAAAGATACATAAGTATCGCACTTAAAAATGCCTTTATTTACAATTTAAATTAACACTGACTATAAGCATTTCATGTAATTAAAAGTTCTATAATGGCAAAACATAAAATTATAAGACCAGAAATACACATTAGACAGTATGAAATGATTGAACCTGAGTTATTTTTCATAAAAAACACCACAATGAAAGAAATAAAATTCGAAGAAAGAGCGGTAAAAACAACATGCCCATGAGCTGAAGGAATATCTTTCGCATAAACTATCCTTACATTTAAACTGTGCACTACAGGAACAGGAGTCACAGGTGCTCTCACTGGACCCATACCTTCATAGAAAGTATATTCTGCTTTATCGGTGCTTATGATGGTCCATGAAGCTCCATCGTTAATCATTTCTTTATTAGGTTCTTTGGGACACGGCGTAGCCTATTAGGAAAAATTATAATAAAAATAAGCATTAACAGACTAAATTTAGATAACGTTTTTGGATTCTTAATGGTTTTATAGAAGGGAATAATATAATTTACAAATTGCATTTGAAAGAAAAATGCGAAATTTTTCGCACAGTTTCGGCTTACACTTTTTATATAAGTATGTAATTATACCAGTCGCGTTACAGAAATAACGTATCGTTTAAATTCACTAATAGTTGGAATATTTTGAAATGCAGATTATAAATTATTTTTCAAGTTAGAAAAAAAACAACAAGCAAGCTAAAATACTGTAAAATAGATTACCTGGAACTGAATTATTCTCTCCTGAGATAGACATAAGTACATTCGTTCCGTATCTTTCATATAAAATGCACATTTGTGGAGTTGTGAAACTGGATCATCAGCATCCAACAAAGCAGTCTGTTTATCTACTTTCCTAATAATCTTAGGAAAAAAGAAAATCATCATTCTTTTTTGTCAAAATCACCCACATAAAATTCTAAATTTTTCAAAGAAAAAAATTAACTATCAGTCTACAAAGATTATTACTAATATATTCATCCACAAAAGAGTCTCAAGGTAAAATTTTGCGGTTATATGTAATTTGTTTGTAGTACCTTAAATCTATCTAGTAAATCTAATCTTAGGATTTTAAAGCAAATGTACCTAACCATTCTACTTCTTTCTACAATAATTTTTTTCAGCAAACTAACAATAATTTCACTACACGTTATGCGAAGAAAAATACTTCGGAGAAAACACTTCGCTTTATAGAATTTTTCTGATCTGTTCTGCAAAGATTTAAATGAATGAATTCAGAAATCAATAACTAACATGACCAGTAGATAATCACGCGAAGTAATGTAAATCTTAGTGCTTTACGGATTGTTGAGAAGAGAAGGCCTAGAATGATGAATTACTCTCTACTATATGCTCATCACATTAGTCTGGTACTTAAGGATCTCAAATAACATTAAGTCGGTTGGGAACTCTAATGTAAAACGTACCTAGATTTTGTTTTCAGGTTTGGGTTGGATTCAATTCCAGTGTTACGAAGAAATATTGTTCTAATACTAAGGAGCGAAATAACATTTTAGGCTTTTACATGCTTACAGCATTATAATGGCATTTCGGTGAAGACTTTTCTCCCATTTCTCTCGTCAGTTCAGTTCAGCCACAAGACAGTTATGTAAAGTAAGATCCATAAAGCAGAGTTCATGTAAATGAAATGAAGATATGCGCGTTCAGAAAATTACTAGCCTGCTCAGAAACCTAATCCAAATCTCATGAAATATCTTCGGATATAATTAGAATATTGACTAATCGTCAAACTTGGATGGTAATCTAAAAATGATATATAATATGAAAATAAGAAGGTCAATTGAATAATAAATACAAAATTATTTGATACTTTTCATCAGTAAGACCTTTTCTCGAACAGTAGCAATGGGAAGTGGTACTGTAAAACGTAACACGAGTATTCTTTATACCTCTTGAAAACAAGAAATGCCTTTTCTGACTTTACCAAGGGGCAAAACAAATGCTGTTTTTGTAGGATGTTTCACTTGAGTTCCGACCGCATGAGTTACAAGTACGGAGATTTTTCAGTTAAAATGTAGGAATTTTGAATTCTTTACATTCTCATTATTAAACGGTAACTAAACATCACTGGTATATAAGACTGAACTTTGAGAAAAATCATAGATAATATGTATAGAATTCTTTGTCTACACCTCCAGATTTAAGCTACTGCGTGTTTGTCGCTACGTAAAGAAAAGGAAAAAGTCCAGTTACAGGTATTGGTGTGACTTTTTAAGGTGGTTCTTGAATGGAGAATATCTAGAATGAAAATGCTTAGTTTACATTCAATTTTTCAGAATAAGAATGAAAAATAAAATGCCGTATAAGACGACAAAAGTGTAAAAAATATTTAAAAAATATGCGTAATGGTTAATGAAACATTACACGATTTTATTAAATTTTGGCAGTTGATAAATTTTTCAATATACTAATGTGCTGATATATATGATCGCCGAAAATAAAGACTTAAGTAATCTTAAGGTATTTTCACCCTCCTTACCGCGCATCTTCGTGGTGTGATTAAAAAACATATTCAGCTAGAAATAGGAATGTCCGGAGTTCGAGTCATAAAGAAAGCATCTCTCTTGTTTCATTGTTTCTCTTGTGAAATACTGATCTTGATAAAACTTCAGTTTAACCACATAAATAAAAATAATGGTAATCATATATTATGATGCAAGACATGCTAAGCGTGCGTACTTATAAGAAATGTCATGGACAGCGATCGAATAGAAAATAAACACCAATGGAATTTTCAGCCGACTACCATTTAGACTTATGCATTTTATGAAGAAATAGACTATTTGTAACTGGAATTAAATTCAGAAGCGTTGACAAATGAAACAGAATTAACAGTGCGAAAAGCTGACGCTCACTTGAAGCACTTGCATCATTTGAATAAGCTTTTTAAATAGTTCTATGCAAATATCGCCAGCTGTAAAATTTTTCTTTGATTCCAACAAGCTTTATTTTCACTAATAGAAGTAAATAAACCATAATATTTTGTAAAATTGATTCTTAAAGGATGTTCATGAAACATCAGTAGCAAAGAATGTAATGTCTGAATCATGGCTATGAATGTATAAATATCTTGATGTCTCTGTATGTACTGTTATTAGATGATAGTTACGAACCAGAGGTATACGCATACTACAGAATCAGAGGAAACACAGTAGTTCTAAAATGACTTCTACTATGTTTAGCTTTATTCTCAGCATCAACAATAGGCCAAATTTAGGGAATGTTTAACAAAGTTTACTCGTCATTACAGGCTGCGATTTAAAGTATAGCAACTTCCATATATCTTATGCATAAATTTTATTATCTTATTACGTATTTTCAGGAGTCAGAAACGTTTCATTATTTTTAAATAAATCATTCATCAAATTAATGAATATGCGTGCACAATATTTTTTCATATATGTTATTGTATTGCCATACGCTTTTAATTACTTTGTTATAAAATGATAATACTTTATTTAAGGTTACAACATTATTGAAAACCGTGCGTTTTAATTTTAACATACTATTAACCACTCAATTAATTTTACCAGATGACATTTATGAGGATACCTAGCAAAGCTATAAATAGTACACCAGGTTAAAATTCAACAATGAATTGCAACAAACTTCAAATTCGAGTTTGTTTAAGATGATATCCCTTTCATTTCCCAAATTCTTTTGTCATTCAATAGATCCAAAACAGCACAACCGATTCTTTACAGATTTCTAGTTTTAAAACTGTAAAATCATAATGACTTAAAAGAGAAATACCTCAAAATTTTTTATAAACTGATAAATGTATTTTGAATAAAATTACCTACCTTTTATATTAACCTCATACGGTTCTTTTTCCTGAAGGATGCTTATGCCTACTAATAGTGATACTTTTAAGGTTAATATGCAGTATCAAAGGTTTCAAAACTGCATTTCTATAGCAGAAGTATTTTAAAGTAAATTTATACGTTATATTCTATTTTTAACTTAGGCTTGAAAAACATAACTTTTTTCATTTAATTTTGAATATTAGCCGTTAGTGTTATATACCTAATATTAAAAAAAGTTAATAACCTAAAGTGTTTTGTTTAAAAATGAAGAAAACATGCACTGGTAAATTTTAGGATAAAAAAAGTGTAATTAGTAAAAATATTTTTTGCAAGCAGAAGCTCATCTATGATTAAAATGTATTTATTAGTAAAATGTCTTTGGAAAACAAATTATAAATTTATATAAGATTAATATTATTGTAAGTAAGAAACAGGTCAAGAAACTTACCAGCCTTGGTAGAGCCATTCCCGTTACAGAGCAAACAAGTTTGACAGTAGAACCATAATGTATGTAGCCATCCCTTACGGTAAATTCCTCAGATTCTGATTCATTATCATCCACTGAAGTAAACAGAATGCAATGTAGTAGGAAGGTGTTTAATGAAACAAATGGCTTATGAGTTAATCAGTTTCATGTGACTGTTCACCATTCGAATATTTAATTAAAATTTAAAAAAATGCTTTGGTAAACAGTATAAAATTACTTAAGTTAGAAAAATTTTTAATTTATAATAAAGAGAAATATTTTAATTTATGAGCTGCATCAAAATACAACATGGAAACAGGAGTAAAGTAGCTAAAAAAGGTGTTAAGAATAGCTGTTAAATGAAGCCAAGCAATAAATACCTTCTCCTGGGCACATGTTTGCTAAGTGAAATTTATTGCAATTCGCGTTTTTCACACATTGTATTTCAAAGGTTAGATAATAAAGCGAATCTGCAGAACAGAAAGCAAATAACATTTGTGAAGCAATAAACCTTTTCGGTTTTAAATTGCTTAAAAATAAACCAGAACACTGTCAGAAAATCCTGAGTTGGCGAATTAGAAATTAAAATAAATTTTAAAAGGAAAATACCACATCTAAACATCTGTTGGTACCACAATGTTGGGCACTATAAAAGTTAAAAACATATGGGATTACTCCAAGATGAGGATGCAGTATGGCTAAATGTCTTTAGGATATAGTTCGATCATAAATTTGGAGATGGTTTTGATAGGAAGGGCAATCTCCAGGTAGCCGATATACAATTAATTATGATATTTGTATACAGGATAAGTATGTATTTTGATGCAAACTTTTTTGAAAAGATGAGATGAGACAAAGAAAAAAGGACTACTACTAAAATTGTATGAAACTTTAGTCGATGTGACTTTCCAAGAAATTTCAAGATTCGCAACATTCAGAATTAAGTAAGGGAAAAAATGGGAAAATGTTTTTGGCCGAAAAGAAACAAATCTATACAATAAGTGGTGATTCTTATCCTATCATTCTGAAAGTATGAAATGAAATTCATTTCATAGAAGAATGAAAGTTGAAAGATACTAACAAATGGGAAAAATAATTAATAAAATTCAGTTCATAAGCACAGTGTTCCAACAAAAACTACTAACAAAAAATACACGGGACGAAAACTGCTTGACTTAAAAGTAATTCACCTCGGAATAACAAACATTATTACTTACAAATATAAGTAAACCATGTAAAACATTCTTCCAAGAATACTTTTGGAAATTATTACCTCATTAGAAGACAATAATCTAGTCTTGGACTAAACTATAAAGTACACATAATAGTTAATAAACTCAAATACTATCCATGTTTTTCCTTTTATGTATGGCTGTCATCTCACAAGGAAATACACTATACCAAAATATGCGAAACAGTCCTGACGGAATCAGCTTGACTACAGAAGAGTATAATAAAAGGATCATTACTTTTAAAGAATATAACCGAAATGCCTATGCATCCGGAAAGTGTCACAAGGAAGTTTCGTAAAGAAAAGCATCCCTATCGTAGAACTGTTACAAATGCAATCTATAGATTAAATAACACAGCCAGCGTGGTTTTGGTATTCTAGAATGCGTATTTAGGAATTCCTAACGCAGCTAATGGAAAGTTAGCAAAAGTCGATTCAGATTCCAGAGAATCAAATTTTGAAACACAGCTATACGCATGCATATTCTCGCTTTCAGGAGGCAACTTTCTGTTGAACGTTTTCCATACAGTTCGTATTGGACATCTTATGGATAGATGAAATCAATATCAATGAAGATTATAATTGTGAACAGATGTAATGTGTATTTAGTCTGATGATGTGCTAGGGAATCGTATCATCGAATGATACATAATCAAACCAATCAACATCAAATTGGTCCAACAAACATTTGATGTGGTTTTCGGAGAAACTGTATTATAAGACAATGAGATACGTACAGCTTTCGAATGGTGAAGAATATTTAAATTTTAATGCAAGTTTTCAGAATTTTTGATAAATTGCCAATGCAGCAGTTGAACAAAATTCGATTTTAGAACGATGGGAAACTAAAGATATAAAACTATACATTTAACACATTTTAAATACAGATAAAAATTGCATGCAATAGTGTAAATGTAGAAACATTACAAAACACTCAGAGGTGTCCTACTGTATTTCTACTAGCAATAATCATTGATAAAGTACTGAATATTTTGAACAATAAAGCCAATTGTATTCAGCCGCACTATTTTAATTTTCGATATTTTTGGAGGGGTAGACATATACTAGTTTTCAGGATTTCTTTCTATCTTTTACTGTGGGAAGATACACAGCTTTCTGGTTAACTTTTACCCTTTGTTTCTAACAGGAAAATGAGGAAGCCGTCTCAAACATTTTTGAAAAGTTGGTCATTTCCTCAAAGCTGTCTTATGGTGAAAAACCATCATGCTTCCCTACACAATAGCACTAAAAATGTTCACACTAGTATATCTCATAAATTGCTTTGATTGATGACTTTTTCTGATGCTGTGGTGTTGGAAATTAAGAAGCTTCTTACATTTGGTCGATTATCTCCAGAAGTGATGGATAGATTTTAATGAACTTTGGTATGGACATTTGTTGATATAATCCAATATCTATATGTGCCATGCAACAGCCATGGGATACATGCAAGATTGCGTGTAAGGCTCGTCCATGCAGGAATGTCGTCAAAGGTTGCAAAATCGAACAGAAAAAGAGGCTAATTAAGGACAGTGTAATAGAAGGCCTTTCTAATGGTCATACAGATTTCACAACATGATTTCATAGGAAATGAAGCAGTGGTACTCGGTTCTACTCTTGCAGCAACATAATTTGAGGTCCTAGAGGGTTCTGGCAGAAGGAACGGGGCTTGTAATTGCCCTCATAAGAGCATCTCAGGAATGTTTTATATTGTTCAGACCTGTAAATCTGGCTAACCAATCCATCCGATGAATATCCTCCAATTCCAGAAAACCATCTGCCAGATTAGTCCTACCTAGAAGAGCATTGCCGTGCATAAAAATGAACGGAGGGCCAGTTGCATTCTTGGAAAGGTGAAATTCCAGTTGCATTCTTGGAAAGGTGAAATTCCAGTTGCATTCTTGGAAAGGTGAACATAATTCTCTGAAAGTTCTTCTTTATACCTAGCAGCAATCTTAAAGACTCTGTGAAAGACAGCAAGAGCTGTGCCCCTGTCCAGCATGATGCCTATCCATAGTTTTAAAATCTGTTGCCATACTGATCCTTTCCTCAGAATTTGGAAGAGAGATGCAGGTTTTCCTGGTTCTCTCACAGTAAAAAGCAGTGGTTAGGTTGAACTGAGATTCATCTGTGAAGAGAAATGTATCCTTCTGGTGCTTGGACAAAGTCCATATTCTCTGCATTATGCTAAACCGGCTCTTTTGAATGCAGAAGTGAGCAGGACGCAAACAGCAAACCTTCTTCTTGCAAACAGTCAAGGTCTTAGAACCCTATCTTTGCCTTTTCAGAGCTCAAGTTAGAACTCAATTCATTTTTTTGGATAACAACATTCGTCCACATAGATCTTTCTGGTGGATAATTTTGTGGAAAGTGAGAATATTAATCAGACTGACTGGTCAACTAGATCTTCAGACCTAAACCCTATAGAACATATCCGGACGTTCCTGGGAAGGGAACTACAATTCGCCTTTCCCATCCCAGAACCCTGCAGGGCCAAAAAACAGCATTGTTGCAGGAGCGCGACCGAATGCCATAGGGACTTGTAATGCCATAGGGACTTTTTCAGTATGAAAATACAAATGAGAGTAAATACGATATATTATATACTGTATTTGCTAGCATATTTCTTCCTCTAGTTTTTTTAGAATGTGATTTAGAGACTTCTGATTAATGGTAATAATGTAAATGTAAGCTCAAATAAGAAAGTGTATGAGTAAGTAAAAATATATTGAAGTTGATAAGTCCTTTGAAATACATAATAAGGTATGTCCATAAAAGAATGTCTCAGATATAAATTTTAATCGTAGCGTTGTATTGGTTCAAGGTCACAATTAAAGAGTAACGCAAATAGTTTTAAATATGCGCATGCGCGAGTACTGCTTTATTGTTTTACGACTTGGAGAGCCATGTAAGTAAAATGGCGACTCCTCAGAGTAAAGTGTTTTGCGTTCTGCAATTTTCTGAGAATGAATCTGTAATTTCAGTCCAACGTGCGTTTTGCTTAAAGTTTAATTGTGATTCTCCATGTGACAAAAACATCCGCCAATGGTATAGGCGATTCGAAACGACTGGATATATCTGTAAACGGAAAAACACTGGATGATCAAAAGTGTTTGTAGAGGATGTGAGCCATGACACAACATCTTACCTTCGTAGTCCTAAGAAATCTTTTCGGAAAACAAGTCTTGAACTTCAGTTGCCAGAGAGGACAGTTTGGAAGGTTTTATGAAAATGTTTATCCATGCGCCAATACCGGTTACAGTTGGCACATGCTCACTTCAGTTGCTAAAGACGACAGTTTGGGAGGTTTTTAAGAAAATGTTCACCCATGCGCTGATACCGGTTATAGTTGTTCCATGCTTCAAAGACATGATTATGATATACGTTTTAACTCTGCAGGTGAAGTGTTTGAGCGGGAAGATGACATTCTTGATAGTGTGGTGTTCAGTGATGAGTCAATTTGTTTATCTGAGTGAGAAGGTAAGTATCCAATGTTCGTATCTTGAGGTCAAAACATCCTCATGAACTTGAAGAATACCAAAGAAATTCCCCAAAAAAATCGAACGTTTTCTGCGTTGTGTCCCAGTGTCAAGTGTATGAACAATTTTGTCCCACTGAAGCTATTGTAATAGTGGTTGCTTATCTAGATTTGTTACAAGAATGGCTATTTCCCCCAATTAGTGGAGAGTGAACCTGTAAACTTTATTTGGCAACAAGATGGAGCTCCTCTCCATTGGAATCTCTTTGTACGAAAGTAGTTGAGCGTCGAAATCCCTGACCATTGGATTGATCGTAACGCTCAGAGCGTTTTTTTTTTTTTTTTTTTTTTCGTTGGCCTCCACCCTCACCACACCCGACGTCATA